ACCGAAAGGCTGCTTCGGCTCGGAGCGCGCGGCGCGGGCGGCGACCGCCCACAGGGAAACGGCTTAGCGAGCTGCGTGCCCCATTGGTAGTTCCAATCGCGGAGGAGGAGGAGGAGGAGGAGGAGGAGGAGGAGGAGGAGGAGGAGGAGGGGGAGAGGGAGGAGGAGGGGGAGGGGCGGGGGAGGAGGAGGAGGAGGAGGGGAGAGGAGGAGGAGGAGAGGAGGAGGAGGAGGAGGAGGAGGAGGGGGAGGAGGAGGAGGAGGAGGAGGAGAAGACGCAGGTCCGCGAGGATGAGGACCAGGTTAAGATAGGAGCGTGCTGATGCTGATGCTGATGCTGATGCTGATGCTGATGATGCTGATGATGCTGCTGATGATGAGGATGATGCTGATGATGATGATGATGATGATGATGATGATGATGATGATGATGATGATGACGATGACGATGACGAGGATGATGAGGAGTATGATGAGTAGGAGGAGGGGGAGGAGGAGGAGGAGGAATGGAGGAATGTTCGGAGTGGAGGCGTGAGATGAGCAGGAGTTTGGCGGAGAGGGGACTGAGCCAGTTGTTGGAGCGGGATGTATGTATGTATGTGTGTATATATATATTGACGTACAGAGAGAGAGAGGGAGAGAGAGAAAGAGAGAGAGAGAGAGAGACACACACAACACAAACGAGAGGAGAGAGGGAGACAGAGAGAGAAACGGCCACCCGAGAGAGAGAGAGAGAGAGAACCTGAGAACGAGAGAGGGAGGGAGAGAGAGAGAGAGAGAGAGGCAGAGAGAGATAGAGAGAAACTGAGAGAACGTGTGCGAACGAGGGAGAGAGAGAGAGAGAGAGAGAGGGTCAGAGTGTGCTAGGGAGAAGGATCTGGATCATAAGGGACCAGTCATGAGATAGAAGGAGAGAGAGAGAGAGAGAGAGAAACATCGGGAACGACAATGCGACGGAGAAGGAACAATGGGGATGTAATGAGCACGAACATGTGGAGGTGGAGGAGCAACGCTGTGCGCTTGTGCAGTCCTTCCATTTGGAAGTGCGTTTCTCCCAGCGTATTGTGCGTGTGCGTGTGTGTGAGAGAGAGGGAGAGTGTGTGCGTGTGTGGTGCGTGTAGTATGTGTGTAGTGTGTGTGTGTGTGTGTGTGTGTGTGTTTGTGTTAGTGTTTGTGTTTGTATGCGTTTTCGGGCGTAGCCCGACTTTGTTCCTCGGCGATGAACTGAACTGAACTGAACTGAGCAGACTGGTCGCACCCGTTTCGCGACGGCGACGGTTTGATTCTCGGCCGCCAGAGGCGCAACCTATGGCGCAACCGATAGGAGACGGTCTTCTTCATCGGCCGCCGAGGGCGCGACCTATGGCGCAACCGATTGGAGACGGCTTTATTCTCAGCCGACGAGGTCGCAATTTATGGCGCAACCGATAGCAGACGGTTTTACTCTCGGCCGCGAAGGCGCAACCTATTGCACAACGGATCGGAGACGGTCTTATTCTCGGCCGCCGAGGGCGCGACCTATTGCGCGACCGATAGACGGTTTTATTCTCAGCCGCCGAGGGCGCAAGTTATGGCGCAACCGATAGGAGACGGTTTTACTTTCGGACGCGAGGCGCAACTTAGTGCACAACCGATCGGAGACGGTCTTATTCTCGGCCGCCGAGCACACGACCTATGGCGCAACCGATAGGTGACGGTTTTATTCTCAGCCGCCGAGATTTCCGTAACCATTTTGGCTCAAGGCGATGCCTTCCCCCGGGAAGCAAGCGGATACTGCTAGTCCGCGGCTAGCCCCAATTGCTTTTGATGAGCCTCGCAAGCTCAGCTCGCTCGCGTTACTGTCCCTCGCGCTGATAGTGTTCCTTTCGGCCATGGCAGAATACTGGAAGTGCGGGTGTGGCGAGTTCAATACCAAGGGGCGCAAATCCTCCGGCGACTGCGGAGAAGATCGGGCGCCTCGTCAGCCTTGGCGTGTCGGTGGGCCGAAAGTAGCCGGCAACAGCTGGGCAGGGGAGCCTTGGCAGCGCGGATGGAAGCTTGGCCCAAGCTTGGCAACGCTTACCAGCCGCGTGCTGGGGCCATGCTCACCGCGGAGGAGGTCCAAACTTGGGCCGACCTTCCGAACGACACCTGCGAGAAGACGAAAGGGACCCTCTCGCATTCCTCTCGCAGCAAGATGGACTATGCCAGACGTGCTGCGGCTGCTGGTGTGCTTGGAGCTGCTGGTCGCGACCCCCCGCAGGCTGTGGACAAGGCTGCCAGGGCGCTGCAGACGGCATGCGACAAGCTCGCAGCCAACAAGGAGAAGGCGCTCAACCTGCTGGCTTCCATCGCCGAGCACCAAGCTGGAGAAGCAGCTGGAGACAGCGAAGCAGGAGGCTGCAAAGCTGTACGACGACAAGCATGACCCAGGTGGCATCGATGGTAAGAAGCTCAAGGATACCATCGGGTCGCTGGCGGTCGACAGCCTCTTATCAGCACGGGTCATCAAGGCCGTCCTCACCGCGGTCGACGAGCTGGACTCCGACGCCAAGACCGCCGCGCAGCCCGCCCCGCAGGCTGCAGCAGCGGGCGGAGGCGAAGGAACCCCTGCACGCGATCCCGAGGAGGAGGAGGAAGAACCCCTGGCGGAGAAGCGGCAGCAGCAGGAGAAGCTGAACGCAACGCTGGCGCCGAGCCGGCCTCAGGAGGTCTTTGACGCGCTCATGGCCCATGAGGATCCTGGCGGCCTGTTGGGTGCTTGCGACGATGAGGGGAAGCGGAAGCGGATTACCGACTCTCTGGATACCCTCAGAGCCTGCAAGAAACCCAAGACAGACAAGCTAGGAGTTTAGCTCGCGTAGGCGGCGGTGGTGGAAAGCCTCGACCATCAACGCCAACGCCTACACCATGTTCGAGGCCGTGCTCCAGCACATCAAGTTGCAGGAGACCCACCTCCTGCGTGGAGCGCTGCAAGGAGGTTTCCGACAAACTCAAGCGAGACGGCTGGCACGTTGCGGCCAGCGCGGCGGTTGGGGGAGCTCGAGGACGGTCAGGACATGGAGGGTTGCTTCAGCTAGCTCCCCGTGCGCAAGGGCTCGGATTTATCGAGCCGCTTAACGAGTTCAGCATCCTCCCAGGGCGCGCCAGCTTGGCGCATTTCTCGGGCGTGACCCCTGGCGGGGTCACGTGGATCAACATCTACCTCAGGGTGAACGAGGGCAGGTCCGACTTCAACCTGCAGGCCTGATGGTCATCTACGGGGCGGTCAAGATGATTGGCAAGCCCACCGTGATCGGAGGCGACTTCAAGAGGGAGCCGCAGCAGCTCGCCCAGTCGGGCGTCTTGGACGCGCCCAGCCTGAGGGCGATGGCGCCAGACGAGGGTCCGGGCCGCCCTGGAGGGCGCATCATCGACAACTGGGCAATCAGCGAGTGCTTCGGCCAGGCCAGCGCGAAGGTCACGCGAGGCTGGGGCGTCGCCCAGCATGTCCCCGTTGACCCCGAGGTCGACGGTAGCGCCAGCGTGAACACATGCAGGTCATGGATCGTCCCAAGCGCGTCGCGCCCCCCTTGCCTCAGGCGCGCTGCGCCACCGAGCAGGTCACTGGGTAGGCGGCGAAGCGCGAGGACATGGGGGCTACCAGCTCCTCCGACGGTATGTGGAAGGTCTTCGTGTACCAGGCGGAGTGGAGCACCGCTGACGCGCTCGGCCTCGCTCGCGAGTTCGAGCTCCACTCGGGGCTCGCCTGCAGGCCGCGCCTCGAGATGGCGAAGGTCACGGTGCCTGGCCCTCCGCGGCTGCCGCGGGCCAGCGCAGGATTGCGGCTCAAGTGCGCGGCGCCCGCCCTCAAAGACACCGCGCGGAGCGAGTGCGCGCCGCGGTGGCAGCGGGCCCCCCGCGCCATCGAAGAGCTCGTGCAGTGCGACCGCGTGGCCAGCGACGCCATTCAAGGGCGCGGGCAGCTCGCGCGGTGCCGCGCCCGCGCCATGCCCTTTCAAGGGGCGCCATATTCGCTGCCCGCGCCAAGCACTTGGACGCGCGCTCCTCGCGCGCAGCCGTCGCTGAAGTCCAGGGCGAGGTCAATCGCAGGAAGCGAGGCTACATGCACTGGGTGGTCGACGACCACTCCCGAGGTACGGGGGCCCCCCACGCCCTCACCAAGCCTCCGCAAGGCTGGGCCCCTCGGCTCCAGGGCGCGACCGGCGTCGCCCCCCCTCCTTCTCTGCAGGAGACCGCCGGAGCCGTGGTGCAGGATTGGGCAGGGTGCTGGGGCGCGGGGGTTCCCGAGCCCAACGGCATCACCACGACGCGCGAGAACCTTGTCTGGCCCGACGAGCTGGGCGAGAGGCCACCTCGCCCCAAGGTGGAAGAGACCAGGGAGGTCATCGGCAGCTTCAAGGAGGCCACGGGATCCTCTTTCAATTCGCTGCGCCCCCTGTGAGTTGCAGCTGATCGACGATGGGGACTTCGGGAGGCTGGTCGGCCTGGTGGCCGTTGCCGAGGAGAGGTGCGAGCGGCCCGACTTGGTCGCCGCCTTCGCCTGCTTCCCCAAGGCGGGCGGAGGGCTGCTCGCGGGCGACGCCTTCGCCGCGACTTTCACGAAGCTCATGGGCCTGCATTCGCTCGACGAGATGACGGCCAAGCACGTGGCGGTCACCCCGGCGGCGTTGGTGAACGACCTGGTGCTACTTCGTTGGGGCGGCGACGACAGGGCCGCGGATGACCTTGCTGCGAGCGCCAAGGCGCTGGTCAATGGGCTCGCCAAGATGAAGCTGAAGGTCGCAGCAATGGAGTCGGGAGCCCTGGCTTCTAACGCGAGGTTAAGGGAGCGGCTGCAGGACAAGCTGTTCCAGAGTGTTGGGGCGCCAGGGGCAGGGCGCGTGGCCCCCGAGCCTACAACCTCTACTTGGTCTACGGCGGGGAAGTCAGGCCGCCGCTAAGGTGGCGCACGCTGGGCTCTTGCTAATCACCACGTGCGGGGCGCCGTGCGCGGGCGTGTAGAATTTCGGGCCCAGGCAGGCGGGGGCCCTGTTCGTGAGGGCAGTCGGGGCTCGGTCTCAGGGGGCCGACTCCGTCTATGGCGCCGCGCCCCAGCCAGTCTGCGCTCTGGCGAGGGCCGTTTGGGAGAAGTGGTCGCCGATTGGCCAGCTCGGGGCCACTGTCAGCGGCTACGCCATGGACATCGCCAGGTGGGCCTGGCGAAGGGGCCGACTGGGGCCGCGGTGTTCTCGCTGAGGCGCCTCGGCTACACGCTGCGCGGCTTCGAGAAGTGGGCCAGCCCCGCTTGCAACGGGCACTTCAACGTTAGCGACTTTGAGATTGTTTTTTTATCCTCTGGGGGGTAACGCTCGTTGCCCGGGCCTCTCCCCCCCCCCCCCCCCGTAACGGTAACGCTCGTGCGCGGGGGGGGTCTCGGTCTTCCCCTCCAACGTGCTGGTGCCCGAAGGCATGCGCACTGTGGTGTGGTGGTCGCAGGCGCACTGTGGGCGCTCGCAGGCCATTGCGGCGCTCGCATGCGCGATGCTGGTGCTTGCGGGCTTTGCGCTTGTACTCGAATCGTCGTCGTCGTCGTCGTCGTCGTCGTCGTCGTCGTCGTCGTCGTCGTCGTCGTCGTCGTCGACGGCGCCCGAAAACGGCCTCCGGAGGCCGAAACAGGCGGCAAATGTCGTCGTCGTCGTCGTCGACCTCGTCGCTCGTCGCTCGTCGATCATCGTCGTCGCGCGCGCGGGCGCGGGCGTGGTGCCGGGACCACGCGGCGGGCTTTGCGCTTGTACTCGAATCGCAAGCCACTGTGGTGCTCTCAGGCAGAGAGTGCTGCTCGCGCGCATACTATGGCGATCGCAGAGCGCCCCTGCTTCGCCATACCCCGCCCAGCCCAAGCGTTACCGTTACCCGGGGGGCACGACCCCCCCCCCCCCCGGGTAACGAGCGTTACCGGCCGGAATAAAAAAATGATCTCTTGTCTCCGTGGTACATCGAGCACACGCTCAAGCTCGACATTCAGAGTTGGCAGCTGCAGCACTTGGCCAGGGGCGGCCATGTGGACGTCAATCACACGGCACTCGTCAACCAGATCAGGCGTTGGGTCCACGGCGGCAAGGGCGCTCCGCCCGAGCGCGAGAGGTGGATGCTGCTCGCGGAGGCCCAGCGCGGCTGCGCCAGGTCTGTCGCGGTCAAGGGGGAGTGGCTCAATGTGCGAAGGCACCCCGCCACCCAACGCCCATCGCCGACGTCGGACTGCGCGGGGGGCGCGGTCGCCGCCAGGCGGACAGGTGGGCGAGGTCCGTGGCGGGCCAGTTCAGGGCGCCAGTCGTCGACGGGCAGGCCAGGGACACCAGGTAGTTTACGCTGGGCGCCATGGTCTACTGGGCTGCAATCGCCGCCGCGAAGGCGGCTGCTGCGCGGCGACCCCGAGTGGGATCTCGAGCAAGGGGCCCTTGCTCTGCTTGGTGCAGCACGACATCATCAAGGTCCCAGGCGACGTCCAATGCCGCTGTTGCCCGCGGTCGGCGCGCGAGGGCGCGGGCGTCGAGAAGTTCCACGCGGGGCGCTGCCGCGCCGAGCCGTTCGCGCCCGACACTGCAAGGCTCGGGCGATGCGGTGGAGGCGGGCCCCCAGGGACACGGGCTGAGGTCCATCCACGGGTGCAGGGTCTGCTTGCAGTGTAGCCTGCACGCCAAGGAGGTCAAGGGCATGTACGAGGGCTTGGCGGCAGGGTGCCATACGGCGGAGGAAGCCTCAGCCCAGGCAGAGTGCGTGCAGAATGCGGGCGATATTGGGGGGGGGGGGTCTTGATCCGTACGCGGGCAAGCGGTTGCCCAGTGCGTGTTCGGCCCGCGCAGCACCTCATTTTTCCAGGCTGCTTGCGCGGGCGCTTGCGCTCCCTGCCTCCCGCCTGTCGTAGCCGCCGTCTGCGGGGCTTCAGTGGTGGCGATCGTCCCACCTGGGGGGCACGGGCTGCAGGTGTTGGCGGACAAGACCAGGTGGGGTCTTGTATCGCGCGCGGGCTGCGTTGCCCTGTGCGCGTTGGCCCGCGCGGCGCCCCGCCGTTCCTGGCGGCCTGCGCGGGCGCCTGCGCGCTCTGCCTCTCGCCTGTTGGGGCCGCCTTTTTTGCGGGCCTTCAGCGGTGGCGAACGGCCGCCTGGGGGGCTCTGACTGCCGGGCGCGGATGGTGGCGTGCTGCGCGCCGTGCTGCTGGAGGGGGACAATTCTCAGCCGCCGGGGGCGCAACCTATAACGCAACCGAATGGAGACCATACTATTCTCGGCCGCCGAGAGGACCATCTATGGCGCAACCGATAGGAAACCGAGCTGGAGCAGGAGGAAGACGAGGAGAAGGAGGACGAGGAGGAGGAGGACGACGACGATCAGGATGGGGAGGAGGACGGGGAGGAATACGAGTAGTACGGGGGCGAAGTGTTGGCATTCGAATGCGTGCGGGGCTGTGCCCGATTTATGCTCGCCGTTTGTGCTTGGGGTCGGGCCCAAGCGGCGTACTGTTTTGTGTTTGTTTGTTTGTTTGTGTGTGTGTGTTTTATCGTGAACCCTTCGGTTCTGACTTTGAGTAGCAGGAACCGTAGCAGGAGCAGGGGCAGGAGGAGAGCGAAGAGGATGTCGTGCAGAGGAGGAACGCAATGACAACGATGATTACGAATACGCGATGGAGAAACATCCGTTCCAACACTGGTGAACGCTCTAGGACCAGCTCACAGTCAGGAGGAGTGTATGGATGAGTACGGCGGCGAAGAGGTGAGCGAGGAGGGGGTGAGGAGAATAGCGAGGAGGATCATATAGCGAGGAGAAGGGCGAGGCTGATGGCAATCAGGTCAGCGAGGAGGGTAGTGAGGAGGAGAAATATGAGGAGGAGAAGGAGGGAGGATGACGGCGACGATGAGAAGGACAGTGCGGAGGATAGCGAGGATGGCGAGGCTAGAGAGGATAGCGACGAGCTGGACAGCGAAGAGATGGCGAGTGCGGTCGCGGACCATCGCAGGGCAATCTGCCGTCCTGGCCAGGTTCGGCATCCCGCAGCCGTGGCGGGGGCGATGGCGCCCCCCGACGGGCGGGAGTGAGCCAGGGCGACGGCGTCCAGGTCCACCACGGCGGCTGCGGCGGACGGCGACGACGACGACGGCGAGCACGGCGACGACGGCTGTGGCGACGACAGCGACGCGGGCCGGGGCGACGGCGGCGGTGGGCGACCCAGGCGGCGGCGACGGCGGCGGCGACCGCCCGCGCCGCGGAGGGCGGTCCCCCCGCGCGCGCGCGCGGCTCCCCAGCGCCGGGCAGCGCAGCGGGCGCGCGGGGATGTCGGAGGAGGGAGATGCGACACCAACACCACCAGGGGTGCCCACCTCCATCGAGGAGGTCCACGATGCCTCCCCGAGCTGGAGGCTGGGGGTGTCCCGAGCGGGAGGGGGGGACCACACCACCAGGGAGGCCCCCCTTGCTCCTCGCATGTCCTCGCCCTGTTGGTGTTGGTGTCGCCTTTCCTTGTTCCTAGAATGTGGAAGGTGAGGGGGGCAGAAGGGGAACGAATGATGACATAAACATAAAAACTCTGAGGTCGGCGCGGTTTTTCGGATCCGCGCGGACCTCCGAGTTTCTGTGTTTCTGCCATTTTTCGTTCCCCTAGGATAGTCGAGCAGGGTGGCAGGAGGAGGAGGAGGAGGAGGAGAAGGAGGAGGAGGAAGAGGAGGAACAGGTTTTTCTTCTCGTCCTGGCCGTCCCCTCAATTATCGTTTTTGTTCGTCCTGTGCCTCGTCTTCCTCATCGTCCTGATCGTCGTCATCTTCCTCCTTAGTCTCGCGCCTCCGCTTCGCCATCGCGTCGTCTCCTTTTGCCTTCGCCCCCCATCTCTCAGCCATTCTTCGTCCTGAGGCGAATGAGGACGAGGAGGACCTGACGAAACCCAGGGTGCATCAACGATGCTGTCGAGCATTCACCGTCACGGTAATCCCGCTTAAGCGACGAGAAGGTGATGGGTTTGCCATCCAGAGCGCGATTCCTGGTTTGAAAAAGAGCCGCTGCCATATACTTGATTAGATATCGAAGGCGCCTGCGGCGAATCACCGCCGCCCCCTGCCTTTGCAATCGCCCATGTGGCCGAGCGTTGTGGCAAGAGCTCTGCCAGGCTATCGGACCATGTGTTCCCCCAGCCGTTGTGAAAACCCTTCGGGGGACACTTGGGGGGGGATGGCGGGGCACACCAGGATGAGGAGGGGGCATCTTGGGATCCTCTCGGGACGCTCTTGGGGTCTCCTGGGAGCTTCCTGGGGGCCTCTTGGAGTCATTTTGGGGGCCTCCTTGGGCCTCTTGGGGTCCTTTGGGGGCTTCTCGGGGGCCTCGTTGGCCGCCTTAAAGCAATCGTGGCCAGTCTGACGCCGTCGGAAGCCGTCTTGAGGGTCTCTCTGGGCCGACTTGGAGCCCTCTTGAGGTGCTCCACGGCCGTCTTAGAGGCCATCTTGGGCGTCTTCGAGGCCTCTTGGGCCGTCTTGGGGGCCTCTTGGGCCGTTCTGGGGCTATCTTGGAGGCCTCATGGGCAATATTGGGTCGATCTTTGGGGGATCTTGGGCCGTCTCGGGCCGTCGGAAGGCCGAAAAGGAGTACATGGCCAAATCCTTCAATCCCCTAGAGAACATCAATGAGTGTGTCCTCTTCGGGCATTGCTGGAGGCCCTCTTGGGGGTCTCTTGGGCCGTCTTGGAGACCTCTTTGGGGCCTCTTGGGCCGTCTTGGGCCACCTGAGAGCCATCTTGGGCCGTCGTGATGGCCTCCGGGCCCGTCTGACGCCGTCGGAAGCGGTTTTCGGGGCCTCTCTCGGCCGATTTGGGGCCCTCTTGGGGTGCTCCACGGCCGTCTTACAGGCCATCTTGGGCGTCTAGGGTGCCTCTCGGGGCGTCTTGAGGCCCTCTTGGGGCTATCTTGGAAGGCCTCTTGGGCCGTTCTGGGGCCATCTTGGAGGCTTCTTGGGCGATCTTGGGGCGATCTTTGGGGGCTCTTGGGCCGTCTCGGGTCGTCGGAAGACCGAACAGAGTCATCTGCCACAATCCTTCACCCACCTTAGGGCTAACAATTATTTTGGCCTCTTTGGACCTTCCTGGAGGCCCTCTTGGAGGCCTCTTGAGACCTCTTGGGGGCCTCTTGGGCCACCTGAGAGCCATCTTGGGCCGTCGTGATGGCCTCCTGGCCCGTCTGACGCCGTCGGAAGCCGTTTTGGGGGCCTCTCTCGGCCGACTTGGGGTCCTCTTGTGGTGCTCCGCGGCCGTCTTAGAGGCCATCTTGGGCGTCTTCGAGGCCTCTTG